CATCACTTGGAAGACCAGGGGCCAGATTCAAAGTCAAATATTAATACCTTTAGCTCAGAACACAGAAAATTATATACTTGAGTTATTTCTAAACTATTTCCAAAGTCACTGTATCTTTTCCAGATAATATAATGGTTCTTAGAAAACAAAAGAGAATACAAAGTTTAGATAAACGTTTCTAAAGACATACATTAATGCTGTAATATGAGTATACCTTGAGAAACTTAAAACTACTCAGAAGACCACCTCTTCTCAAGTACCAGTAATGATGGATAACCACACATTCCAGCCCCCTGACAAATGCACAGTTATATAATATTAGGCCTATGATTCTTGCTACAGACTTGGATATATTTACAAAGAAAAGATATACACATGAATTGGATGGCATTTAATGAACTAATCAGTTGAGTAAACTATTCAAAGGTGATGGAGTTAAATAAGTTTTTTCATAAATTCAAAATGTAAAGGTGAAAAGAGAACATTGAAGTGCTGATTTAATGAAGTTTTCTGCTTAATGCATAACCATAACTAACCACAGCATGTGGGAGCTCTGTTAATGAGGCAAAGGCTCAGTTGATACAAGTGAGCAACTAATAATGTCTACCTTTAGGGCAGATGAATCTATTTTTTCAGTCCTGGTGAACAACGAAGAGGAGAGATAAGGCAGAAAATGTAATATAACTGCCTCTCTTAAAGGAAAGTCTGCTCTCCTTTGAGATACAGAATTTCTTCTTTGGCTCCACAGCAATCTTTTTCTTATGCAGCAGGACACCAGGAGTGTCACAAAATAAAACCAGCTTGTTTTCTTCTCTTTGGGTTATGTTAACTGAATTAATAAGCTGAGTCAGTCCTCTAACTACATCTCATTCTTAATACTAATTATTTCAATTTATGAAAAAAAATCCTATTATCTAGAGTTCCTTTTTTGTGTGTGATCTAATCTGAACACAACAAGGACATAATACTAAGTTCTGTGTTCTTTGAATCTCAAAATAGAAAACAGAATGAAACTCAAGAAAACTAAAGGGTGCAACAAAGTGATGGTTCCAAGATTGGGGTGGGAGATTATTTGAAAGAGAGACACACCCTCAAATTTGAGGAACTATGCGGCAGTGGAAATGAATAGAAAGTTTGAGGTTCAAACTCACCATTTTGTGTTTTAATGTGTAAATCTTGTTAGCCACATTTCTTAAGCTCAGAGTCTCATTTCCTTTTATGTAACAGAGATGATAATATGAACCTTAAAGAATAGTTTTCCTGATTCATGGATAATGTATAAAGAAACTAATTTTGTTCTTTTTCCATTTACTTGTTTATTAATTTATTTTCATTTTATTGCCTAAGTTATTTTGTGCTTTCATTGTTTATGTTTGGCAGTTCTCATCTTGTATCCTTGGGAAGAGAATGCAATTGCATTTTTTTACCGTTCATGTCCTCCCACTAATTTTGGTGAGGCTTGTAACAGGCTGTCATTGCTGTGCACAGAATTTATAAACATACAAGAAAATTAACCCAGTTTTCAAGTTATTTTGAATTCCTATGGACTCATTTATTTACCTTCTGAGCTAAAGTATTGAGGCAAACTGAGATTCATCTAAATCTAGATACCAGAATCCTCTCCTTGTGATTACTATTTAGTCTTAAAGATGTTCTAGCAGTCAGTTTGTGGTGAGAGTAAATAGAAATCTGATAGTCTCTGATTCCCACTTAATCTTTGTTCCCATTAAGTGGGACTAGACATGAGTCCTCATTTAGCAGACCTGATATCAACACAGGATGGTAACATTTTGGTTTTATTTGGTTATTTTCTCATTCTAAATTTTTAATTAAAAATAAATGAAAACTTAATGGACATAGTAAGGCTCAGCTGCTACAGTCAAAACCTAATGTAATTCAAATTATTGAGTATGCTAATTAAAATAATTTGATCATATTATGAATACTAATAGGCCATAAAGCATGTTGGAAGAGATAAGACAGATGTATTAATATATGCTGACTACTTTTACATGAAATCTTGATCTCAAACTTAGGTTTCAAATTTGGTAGACTAAACATGCTGGCCTTTTCACTCTTATAACTATAAAGTGATCACTACATTGGCTGTATGACATCAATGACAAGAGCTATGGCATGTGTTAATTCAAATTTTGGAATACATTTCACTAATGATTGCTTTAAATTCCAGCTGGTAGCAATCATGGTACTATTTGTATTTCAGGACAAGGAAACTTTGAAATTACATCTTGCGCTACATGGTTGTGTTGGGATACAAAACTGGATGTAACAATCATCACAAGTAATAATTCTAAAATTAGGCACAAATCATTAAGCTTCAAGACCTGTCCTTGGCTATAAGAAATCACTATTTTATGGTCTCTTCTGATGATTCCTCAAGGAATCCATGAGGAACATTTATATATTTTGCAAATGCATTCTTGGTGTTACTTGTTACCTCTGTTCACTGTCCAGCAGGCTCTAGACCATTGCCCTATTTGTTTTGTGGATCACTTTTTGCTAACTATAAATGTTAGGCAGCTTCTGCTTCTTTGGTTCTACTTTGCACCTTGTAAGGTGTGAGACCCTTCTATATTTTCTCCCACATGATTGTTAATAACGAGATTTACCATTTAAGAGTACTTACCTAAAGAGCTGGAAAAACTAAAGATAACTGAAACAGCAAACTTTAAATCAGTATACTTAGTCCAGTCCAAGTCTCATCATAGAGTTTTGCTCTTAGGTTATCCTTCTCCATCTTTTAGCCAGTTTCTGTGCCGCAGGGGCCGGTCTCTAAACGTTTTGCTTCAAGGGGATAGGATTGCACTTTCCTCTTCTTTCGAGAGTCCAAGTTCTAACCTTTGGGCAGTGGTGGCAGTGGAAGGAGACAGGGGGTTTGGAAGATTGTTTTCATAAAAGACAAAATATTCACTGGAAAGCAATTCTACCAATAATGCTAAATTTCATTGTCTGGCTTTTCATTGTCATAAAACATTCCTCCTCAGAATAGAACTCTGTTTTATAATTGCATGACAAGATGTATGTGTGTGCTTGCTCAGTTGCTTCAAGTCCGACTCTTTGTGACCCTATGGACTGTAGCCTGATAGCACCTCTCCATGGGATTCTCCAGGAAAGTGTCCTGGGGTGGGTTGCCATGCCCTCCTCCAGGGGATCTTCCTGACTCAGGGATCAAACACGTTATCTCACACATTGCAGGTGGATTCTTTACTGCTGAGCCACTGAGAAGCCTATATAATAAAATAATGTTATGCAAATAAAAGGCAAATTGTACTCATAAAGGTATTGAAAATGTTAGACAAAATTAATCAAGCAGTATTTCTCTCCCTTTCTAACCATCAAGACTTCACAAAAACAACTGTGGTTCATCTTTCTCACTATATCACTTACTGGAAAATTATTTAACATAGTTTGTTTCCATGTTATCGATTGAGAATTTAGATGAAGTTGTCTTTCTAACCTTTGATAATTAATGCTACCTTGTGAGCTTCCAATATTTTCCTATAACTATATGGACAAGCTGACTTTGGAGAGAGTCATATTTAAACAGTTTACTAATCTATTTTCTCTTTTGTAAAGTGGAAATGATAATCCCTGCTCTTTCAGATTAATTGGTTGGCTGGTTCATCCCAGAAGCCTTTATGTGGTGGTAGCCCATGTATGTGGTGGTGTGGAGTCTTCTGAGTTTGATTAAGGGAGTACTCGGTCTGATCAGTGTGACAATTGTTGCTCTATGAGGCTCTTAACATTTATTTCTTTCCTGCATCCCACCTCTACACACAAACACATACATTGACACAACCACCACCACTAACATCTTTAAGAAACTGGCTAATTCAGAATATCCAAGAAGTCTTACTTTACTCTATAATTGAATCTATAGTTCGCTTAAAGATGTTTTTAGCCACATGAATGATAACATTAGGATGAGGCCATATCTCTTTAAAAAGAGAAAACCAAAGTCACAGAAATAGCATAGAACTTTAAATGAGACCTGAAAGCATGACTAGCTATATTTAGTCAATGAAGTTTAGTAAAATAAGAGTAGGCTTTTGCTGACAAGTATTATTTACAAATCTCTAATATTCTAGATTTTGTTTACAAACCTGAGAAAAATAACAGAGGCGAATGTTCACAAATAGAAAATTTACATATACTTACATAGCAAATGTGGTACATAAATACACAAAGTACAATACATAAAACTCACTGAAAAAGAGTGTATCTGATGGACTGTGTATGGAGTAGTAATATAATTCACATTGGTAATGATTCTGTTTACAGTTCTTTAATAGCTACATTGATTGCATTTGGAATAATGAATTGCTTATGTTAATAGTAATTAGAATTTGCTTATTTAAACACCTATCATTGCTAATTTCAGTTACCCAATAATGAGAAGTTAAGATTAAACAATTAAATGTATTTTATCAAGCTTTCTTTAGGGGAAAACACACATTTATTCTGATATGAAAACTATTTTAATGCCAGATTTATTTTAAGTTAACAGGTTTATTTTAAATAAAAAGCCAAAGCTGTAATTATGGGAAAAAAATGCCTTTTACACAGATGCATCTAGTTTTAGTAGGGACCATGTACAACAGGGAATATTTTATGTATTTTTTCCCCTAGTACTTTATATTTTTCTTAAGTGGTTTTTAAATTGTTTTTGTAAGCAATTTATCACAATAAGCATAAGGGAGCCTAAAAATGTTGCCAATTTCACAGATGAATGTATATGATTATTAATGATTAAAGTAAAAATCATTGAATGCACACACAAAAGTAGTTTGTGCTCCTATACGCATTTCACTTTTTCTGTAGATGGATTAGCCGAGTATCTGCTATAGAGAAGGTGACTTCAAAATATCATTATAGTGATTGAATATTTGAAATAGTGAATTAAGCTCCAGTCTGCTACTTAGTTGAAGTCTAGTCTTCTGGCCTTTTAGTGATTACAGAATTCCCCCCCTTACCTACAGGTTCACTTTCCACAGTTTTCTGAGTTTTATGATGTAGGCTCATGCCCTATCTCCTGCTTCAATCCTGCCTGGAATCCCCAACCATTGGCAAGTCTGCTCTTTGTCCATCCATAGACATCATCAGGGCTCTGGGACCCAGGACCAACTGCAGCAGATGATTCTCCTCTTGATGTATCATCAGGTCAGTAGTAGGTTAATGCTAAGTAACAGTGTCATGCCATTCACTTTACTTGGAATTATCACATAGGTATTTTGTCCTCATCACAAGCAAAAGTGTGAATATAATACAATAAGGTATTTTGAGAGACAGAACACAATCACATAACTTGTATTACATTATTTTGTTATAATTGTCCTATTTGATTATTAATTATTGTTATTAATCTCTTACTGTTCCTAATTTATAAATTAAACTTAATCCTTAATATATCTATCTATCTATAGATTGATGGCTAGGACAAAAAGCAGTATATAAGGGTTTGGTGGTATCCACAGTTTCGAGAATCCACTTAAATGATCATGGAATGTGTTCCCTGCAGAAAAGTGTTATTGCTGTGATATTGCCCTAGACATAATCAATTTGAGGTATGCTGGATAAAATGTATATCCTGACCTAGGTCAATGGTCTTTATGTGGCTCTAAATACAATATACAGATCTGTGAAACTGTTGTGTGTGTTTAGAATATTGTTCTAATCCTGTTTCTTCATCTATAATATGTAAACAAAATATTTGTCTTGCAGAGTTGTTAGAATTAAATAGAATTAATAATATAAAGTATTGTACCTAGAATGCACTCATTAAATTGTATTACTAGTTTCAGACTAAAACCAATTATTTATGGAGATGAATACATTTATTCAACATTTTAAATTACTCAATAAACATGATTCCATAGAATTGGATAACATCTTAATTATTTTATGTATATTGTAACATTTTTAAGGGCATATATGTGTTTTTTTGTGACTTAGTTCCTTCTGTATGTCTATGTTGTAGATTTATCTGCTTTCTAACTATTCTTCACTTCACCACTCTTTTATTTTTTAACCCATAAGTTGTTTGTTTATGCCTAAATCTAGTTTTGTTAACTCAGTATATGTACAATACTTTGCTTGTTATTTTTGAAAAAATTCTTTAGCCAAATATAAAGCCTAAGTTTAAGAAATATTAACCTACTATCTGAGGGAAACATTATATAGATACATGTTATTCAAAATAGAATTTGATATGTATAAAAATGGCTACATCAATTCTATAGAATTTCAGCAAAGTTGTATATATTTATTGGCATTAGGAAGTTTGGTCAGGTGAAGGTGGAGTTTTCAAATATGGGTAAAATTCTCATTGTAAAAAATACAAATGTAAATTATGTGACAGAAAGGAGGTGTTAGCTAATGCCATGGTGGTAAACACCTTTTTTATTATAAGTGTATCACATCAACATGTTGGGCAGCTTAAAATTACACAATGCTATGCATCAATTATATCACAATAAAGTGGGAGAAACATGGACAGAATTTCAGAAACTAGCCAACAACATTTTGCGAAACTAGTATTTCCTAACCTATATTTAAAAACTTCTCCCCAGGTACTTTTGATGATTAGTCAAGTTTGGAAATCACCACTAGCCAAATTTATGATTTTCTGTCCTTGGTTAGAGTCATTCCAAGATACAGAAGAACTAAGGAGAGAAATAGAGACAGGTCTTATAAAAGATGAGAAGGAAAGGAAAGAAAAAAGGGCACACATTGCTCAAAGTGCTCGGGCCTGGTGCACTGGGAAGACCCAGAGGGATCGGGTGGAGAGGGAGGTGGGAGGGGGGACTGGGATGGGGAATACATGTAAATCCATGGCTAATTCATTTCAATGTATAACAAAAACCACTGCAATGATGTAAAGTAATTAGCCTCCAACTAATAAAAATAAATGGAATAAAAAAAAGAAAAGAAATGCATTGTCTCACAGTTCTGGAGTCTAGAAGTCTCAGATGAGGGGGTTGGCACTGTTGGTGCTTTCTGAGGGAATAATGGCTTTCAGGACATCTACTGGCTTGTAGATGGCCCCCCTTCTCTCTGTCTTCACATTGCCCTCCCCTTTTGAAATAGATGCCAGTCATATTAGATTAGGACCCACCTTAATGAGGTTACTTCAACTATCTCTGTAAGGACCTAACTCTAAATAATGTCACATAGTAAGATACTGAGGTTTAAGACTTCAACATATGAGTTTGGAAAGGGACATATTTCAACCCATTAATGCTTACCTTCTAGTATCTCCCTGTTCCTTTTCTAGTCTTTCTTCTCCAAGAGTAACTACAATCCTAAATTTAGTAATTGCTATTCCTTCTCTTTTCTAATTTTGCCAATTATTTAAGTACTGCAGAAAATATTGCTTATCTTGAAAGATAATTTACTTTTTATATACTGAACCATTATGTAATTAATTCTTGCATGACTTTTTATGCCAATATTTTGCTTCCTGAGATTAGACTGTGTTAATGTGGAAGTTATGATTTGTTCATTTTATTTGTAAGTAACCACACCACACATTATTTATCTATTTTTATATTTAATAGTTATTTGGGTTGAATTCAGTCTTGTTACAATTATATTGCAATAAAATTCCCAAATATAAAAACACTATTTTTATATTTTCTGATGTACAAAGACAAGAAATATTTCAGAATATGTATTCAAGAATGGTTTTGCAGAATCAAAAGTTATATATGGGTCAATATTTGATCAGGCTAGCAGAATTACTATGTCTTCTGTAATAAGAAATTTGCTATAAGTATTAATCTTATAAAATTATGGCATGTGTTGGAGACATAAAGATCTGAATAGGATCGAAAAAAACTAACCACTCCTGAAGTGGTTGAAAAAGTTGAAGCTTGTGGAAAGGGAGGCATATCCAAGAGCTGGAGTGAAATTGTTAAAGAGTTTGATTTAGAAGCCTGAGGAAGTTTGCTGGATTTTTGCAGATACTGCCTATGAATTTGCAGAAATACATCCATCAGGGCTGACAGAGAAGAAAACGGACCAGTTTAGGAATGAAGGGGCAAACTGGAAACCACTGTTACCTTAAGTCTGCCCCTTACAGACACTACCTGAACATGCAAATTTTCATATGGGAAAAATCTAACTTGAAACACCCAGGAAGGGGAATTTTGAGATTCAGTTTCACAGATAATTTGAATTGAAACATATCATGCCATTACATCAACTTTAACAAGTAATTCAAAATAATTTTCCAAAGTTGATCCAAATTATATCCTATGCACAAATTTCTCTTGCTCTGCAACTCTCATATGCACTTGTTTTGTCAGACTTTAATTTTGTATGTCTTATATCTGTAATATAGTATCATTTTCAAGTTATACTTTGTATTTTCCTGCTTGTAGAGGGACTGAACATCTTCCAAATATTTACTATGGTTTTATATTTCCTCTTTTGTGAAATGTCTATTGATGGAGTTTATTCATTTTTTTCCTATTTAGCTGAATATTTTATCCTATAAATTTATGAGTTATTTTTATATCCAACAATTATATTTGTTACAAACATTATTTCTAATTTTCTGAGCAGTAATACTGATTTATTTATCCTATTTTTTTGATCTGTGCTTTCTATGTCTCTCTACAGACAACTCTCCATATCACAGACATGGGACCTGCGGATAAAAAGGCCTACTGTACTGTTACATTTTATATAAGGGACTTGAGCATATGTGGATTTTGGTATCACGGGGGTTAGGTGCAGAAATCCTGGAATCAGTCCCCTGAGGATACCAAGGAAGGACTGTAATCATCTTTTTCTTTTGTTTTGGTTATTCTGGTATTTAAAAGACTTGGAATCACTTCTCATAACAAAATTTTAGAGATTATTTTTGTTTGGTTTGTTTCTAAATTAGCAATAAAAATTCCAGACCACTTTCCCAATATTTCCAGCTTGCTTTATGCTTGGAAATATTTTAGTGAGAAGGGGAATAGCTAGCTTTTCTCTGTTCTCATACTGTTTCTTTGTCTATGTATGTATGTGTGTGTGTGTGCTCAGTCATGAGTGATTCTTTGTGATGCCATTGACTGTAGCCCTCCAAGCTCCTCTGTCCATGGGATTTCCCAAGCAAAAGTACTGGAACAGGTTGCCATTTCCTACTCCAAGGGATCTTCCAAACCCAGGGTTCAAACCCAGGGATATTTCATGGAAATAATGGTTTTTTTTTTTTTCCATTTATTTTTATTAGTTGGAGGCTAATTACTTTACATCATTACAGTAGATTTTGTCATGATGGGCATCTAGGTTGCTTCCATGTCCTGGCTATGATAAACAGTGCTGCGATGAACATTGGGGTGCACGTGTCTCTTTCAGATCTGATTTCCTTGTTTAACAGATAATATTTCTCACTGCACCACCCAGTGGTAAGCCCACGGTAAGAAGGGGGATGGCTAGCTTTTCTCTGTTCTCACACTGTGTTTCTTAGCCTATTGCAAGTTAACTAGCCAAGGTTTCTGACAGCCTGGTATGTGAGTACTTTGAAGCTGGAGCAAATTAGGGATAATTAAGGAGCAACCATTATTTTATTTGCCAGGGCTTATCCTAACTTAACATCAGTACTGTCTAGAATTTATGGATATTGGGTGCCCACCCTCTCTTGGCAGTGTTTTTAATGGCCTTGGACTGTCCTTTCCAAGATTCAGTTTACATATTTGGTATTAGTTTTTCCGTCATTAACTTTTTTCTCTAGATTCTTGGACAATTTGCAGTCCATCTTCTCTGTTGATTTCATGTCACTCCTCGAACACTACTTTGGACAGGACTTAAGACAGAGATCGTCAAATCTATCCGATGGCCACTCTCACCTGTGAGTAAGACTCATCCATTTGTTGCCCCGCTGTTGGTAGTAATAAAGTTTGATCCTATTCCCACCATTTCCCTCCCTTTCATACCTCAGGCTCATAGATTCATTCTCTCAGCTTTAGGTTCCTCAAAGTGTTGTTAGTCGCTTAGTCATGCCCAACTCTTTGTGAGCCGATGGACTGTAGCACACCAGGATCCTCTGTGCATGGAATTCTCCAGGCAAGGATACTGGAGTGGGTAGCCATTCCCTTCTCCAGGGGATCTTCCTGACCTAATGATCAAACCTGGGTCTCTGGTATTGCAGGCAGGTTCTTTACTATATGAGTAACTAGGGAAGCCCAGATTCCTTAAAAGTATCTGTTACACATTATTTCCATGAAATCCCACCCAAATGCCAGCAGACTTACAGAAAATCCTTCATCGAGTTCCCTTAACACCCACCCCCAACCCAGAGTGAGGTGGAGGAAAAGCCCCTCTAGCAAAGGAGGGGAAATTTACACTCCCTACAGTAGTCCGCTCTGCCAGCTTCTTCAAACTCAACCCATCCACACCCCTGAATAGATATTGAGCTATGAATCTGAAACCAATTTAGGACACTTTCTTTTTTTCATGTCTACAGTTTTTTTTAGAGATCATTGATTTATTTATTTGTCCATGCTGCACAGCATATGGCATCTTAGTTCCCTGAGGAGGAATAAAGCCCACATGTATCCCCTGAATTGAAAGCTAGGAATTTTAACCATTGGACCACCAGAGATGACCCAGGGATGTCCCAGGGACTTCTTGTTTTAAGTAACTAATTTGCTTTAATAGGAGGATGATTATTTTACAATACTGTGGTGGGTTTTGCCATATATCAGCATGAAACAGCCATGGGTGCACATGTGTCCCCCTATCTTGAACCCAACTCCCACCTACACCCCCAACCCATAGGATACTTTCATTTTTGCAAATCCTCACTTTGGCATTTGGAAGGATATGTCACAAAGCAGTTTCTTGGTGAAATTTTGTTTTCCCAATCAAATCTGAGACAGAAAAAAATCCCATATTAACCTCCCACTAGAGAACATTTCATGCAAAACTGGGCTCAATAAAGGACAGAAATGGTATGGACCTAACAGAAGCAGAAGATATTAAGAAGAGGTGGCAAGAATACACAGAAGAACTTTACAAAAAATATCTTCATGACCCAGATAATCACAATGGTGTGATCACTCACCTAGAGGCAGACATCCTGGAATGTGAAGTCAAGTGGGCCTTAGAAAGCATCACTACAAACAAAGCTAGTGGAGGTGATGGAATTCCAGCTGAGCTATTTCAAATCCTGAAAGATGATGCTGTGAAAGTGCTGCACTCAATATGCCAGCAAATTTTGAAAACTCAGCAGTGGCCACAGGACTGGAAATGGTCCGTTTTCATTCCAATCCCTAAGAAAGGCAATTCCAAAGAATGCTCAAACTACTGCACAGTTGCACTCATCTCACACGCTACTAAAGTAATGCTCAAAATTCTCCAAGCCAGGCTTCAGCAATACGTGAACTGAGAACTTCCAGATGTTCAAGTTGGTTTTAGAAAAGGCAGAGGAACCAGAGATTAAATTGCCAACATCTGATGGATGATCAAAAAAGCAAGAGAGTTCCAGAAAAATATCTATTTCTGCTTTACTGACTATGCCAAAGCCTTCAACTGTGGATCACAATAAACTGGGAAAATTCTCAAAGAGATGGGAATACCAGACCACCTGACCTGCCTCTTGAGAAACCTGTATGCAGATCAGGAATCAACAGTTAGAACTGGACAAGGAACAACAGACTGGTTCTAAATAGGAAAAGGAGTTCCTCAAGGCTATATATTGTTACCCTGCTTATTTAACTTATATGCAGAGTACATCATGAGAAATGCTGGGCTGGAAGAAGCCCAAGCAGGAATTAAGATTTCTGGGAGAAATATCAATAATATCAGATATGCAGATGACACCACCCTTATGGCAGAGAGTGTGAAAATGAAAGAGGAGAGTGAAAAAGCTCAACACTCAGAAAACTAAGATCATGGTATCTGGTCCCATCACTTCATGGGAAATAGATGGGGAGACAGTGGAAACAGTGTCAGACTTTTCTTTTTTGGGGGGGGGGGTGCTCCAAATTCACTGCAGATGGTGACTGCAGCCATGACATTAAAAGATGCTTACTCCTTGGAAGGAAAGTTATGACCAACCTAGATCACATATTAAAAAGCAGAGACATTACTTTGCCAACAAAGTTCCATTTGGTCAAGGCTATGTTTTTCCCAGTGGTCATGTATGGATGTGAGAGTTGGACTGTGAAGAAAGCTGAGCGCCAAAAAATTGATGCTTTTGAACTGTGGTATTGGAGAAGACTCCTGAGAGTCCCTTGGACTGCAAGGAGATCCAATCAGTCCATCCTGAAGGAGATAAGTCCTGGGTGTTCATTGGAAGGACTGATGCTGACGCCGAAACTTCAATACTTTGGCCACCTCATGCAAAGAGTTGACTCATTGGAAAAGATCCTGATGCTGGGAGGGATTGATGGCAGGAGGAGAAGGGGATGACAGAGGATGAGATGGCTGGATGGCATCACCGACTTGATGGGCATGAGTTTGAGTAAACTCCAGGAGTTTGTGATGGACAGGGAGGCCTGGTGTGCTCTGATTCATGGGGTTGCAAAGAGTCAGACATGACTGAGCGACTGAACTGAACTGAACTGATATATTACAAATGAGAAAATGACTGGCATTTAGTAGAAATTCAATAAATGGAAGACTTTAATTTGTAATGATAATTTCATAGCAAAAATAAAAATAAAAATTTGACTCTAGATGATCCAAACTCATCAAATCTTAATTTTTGAAGGCCTTAAAAAGATATTTAATTACAAATTCTACCATTTGGATGCTTACATATCACCTTCAAAATCCTTGTCACAGTGATGACTTGTGAAAGACTGAGCTTTCCCCCATCAATCTCTGAATAAACTCCTGGAAGAAGAAAACAAATATGTTTTGTCCTCTCCTATCACTGGATCCTACTGAAATCTATCCCCACTACCCTGCTCCATCTTAAAAATCAAAGAAAAAAAGCTTAGTTTCTAAGTTTAAAATATATTTTCTCCAAGAGCTAAACTTCCATGCAGTAGCTTCTCTATCTGAATCTTTGTTTCATTTCAGGCTTGTGTCAACCTTTTTATGAAATCTGTGGGTGCATGTAAAATAAGTTATTTTTTTCCCCTAACCAAGCATTACATTAACAAGACAGAGCAAGTTCCAGGAGAGAACACAGTGCAATGTATCAAAATTAGTTTTGAGTCCTTGCTGGATCACTAATGTAGAAATTTTGGGCAAGTCATAATATCTTGTCAATATGATCATTCACCATGTGAACACTTCCTCTACCTGCCCCCCCATTTCCAAATTACATCTCCATTAGTCTTTATCTTGCTTTAAATCATCTGCATACTGTAGTTCCTGAATTCTAGGATAGAAAGCCTTTGTTGAGGTTTATCCAGTAATATGCTGGATCTGGCTCACCACCAGCTTGTAAGTCAATTATATGCATCTGTTCTCACCTCCAGTTCAATGACCTCACACTGGGAGACTGAAATCAGCCATGGTGGAAGTGATTATGCCATGGGTATTAGCAAATTCTAAAATCAAAGTTTTGTTTTGAAAGTAATTTCTTAAACACTTCATCTATCAATCCACCCCTGGATTGGCCAATGGACGGTACTAGTAGATCAGAATGCAAGAAGAAAGATATTTGGTCCCTGGTCCATTCTTACTTCAAGGGCTCCTCTCCTTCTCCTCCACAGTTTCATCAGGCAGGCTCACCCCACAATCAGCTCTCACAAAAGGTATGATAACATTATTTCATGACCCTGACATTTTAGTTGTGCAATTTTCCCTGTTGTCTGTCTCTGG